GGCGCACCTCCTCACCGATCTGCGTGTTCCCCTGGCCAGGAAAAGCCGCGACGCGGCCAGGCTGGCTCGGAAGGCCCTTGATCGCCTAAGAGCTGGTCGAGAACCCCAGAGCGGGGCTTTTTGGGGCGCCCCTTTTTCCCGTCTCGCGGGCTGCCACGGTGCCCGCTGCACGCGTGGACCCCAAGGCCCGTGAGGCCAGCGCGAGGAGCGAAGGCAATCGCGCCTCGGGGTCTGCGAGCGGGGGCGCCTCGCAGTTGCAAGTCGCTGTCTGGGCTCGCGGAGCCATAATGGCGGCTGCGCATGGCTCCTGGGGCCCCCGCCCGTGCCAGGCTCTCTCTTTTTCCTGGCGGGCCGAGGGTTGTCCTCGAGAGCTGAGATCCCTGTTTGAGGGTGTAGGCGGGACTGCATAGCGGTCCGCCTCAGGTTAGGAACCACAGGAACCAGAGGAGGAGGGGAATGTGGAGGAGGAGGAGGAGGAGGAGGAGGAGGAGGGGGGGCAGCAGCAGCAGCAGCAGCAGCAGGAGGAGGAGGAGCAGGAGGAGCAGCAGCAAGATAAGTATGGAAGAGCCGGAGGAGGGGACACCGCCCCAGCATGTGCATCGTTCGGGTGGGGGGGTCTCTTGTGCTCACCGCGGTGTCGGCTGCTGGGTCGTGCGGGTCGCCTGCCCCGCCGCCGCGATGCCCGTGCCGAAGGGATCGGAGGCGTGCCAGTTGACTTGGCATCGCTCGGACGTGTGCATGTTCATTTCGGAGGGCCATTCAGGAGCATCCTGGATCATCGAGCGAAACATAAGCACACGAAGTCGGAACATGCATGGGGAAGGGACGTCCGAGCGATGGCCAGTCGAGACAGCGTTGGCTCTCACACTTTGGAGCCAGCTGCAGGGCCGAGGTGGCCCATCTCTGGCGTTGCGGAATGGCGGGGTGGGGGCGGAAAATTGGGGGGGAGCGGAAGGCCGGGGAGAAGAAGTGCACCTTTTGTCCCCTGAAAGAGGCCCCTTCGGACCCAAAAGGGTCACGAAAGGTGCGCGTGTCCCCCCCCCCATGGATCGCTGCCCCGTTGAGCAACGCCCAACCCAGCACGGGCTCGGGCCAGCAGCCGGGGGGGGAAAGGGGCCCCCTCGTCGCAACGGCGGGACGCGATGCTCATGCCGGCCAGGTCGGAGGAGGGCCAGTTGAGATAGCGGTTGTTCTCCCACCTCGGAGCCGGCCGCGGGGCCGAGGCGGCCCGAGGTGGGAGAGCAAACGCTATCTTGGCGTTATTGGTTTCCACAACGGGCGATGTTGCTGCGCTTCGGATTCATAGGTTCCTCACGGACCGATTTTGAGCGGATTTGTTGTCGTTCATCGAGCGCGTTCCATTACTCGCAAAGTGCACACTCGCAAGCGCCCGAAAAACACATGTCTAATTCGATATAATTTAATCGCTTCGCTCATTCCGCCGGCCCATATTGTCGCACCGTTGTGGGCTAGCCGAGTTTTGGGGCCTCTTGGGGGCCGTTTTGGGGCCTCTTGGGGGCCTCTTTTGGGCCTCTTGGGCGCCTCTTGGGGCGTCTTGGGGGCCTCTTGGGGGCCTCTTGGGGCCTTTTTGGGGCCTCCTGGGCGCCTTCTGGGGCGGAGGGCTCGATTTTTCAGTTCTCGGTTCCCCTCTTGAGCCCCTCTTGGGCCCGTCTTGGGGCCTCTTGGTCCGTCTTGGGCGGCACTTGGGCCGTCTTGGGGGCCCTCCTGGGCCGTTCCGGGGCCGTCTTGGGAGCCTCGTGGGCCGTCTTGGAGCGGTCTTGGGGGCCTCTTGGGCCGTCTTGGAGCGTCCGGAAGCCGAAAAAGCCAGAACGCAAAAAACATAGAAAAAACAATGAAAATCAACGATTTTGGCCTCTTGGGGCCCTCTTCGGAGGCCTCTTGGAAGGCCCTTGGGGCGTCTTGGAGGCCTCTTGGGCTGTCTTGGGGCCCTGTTGGGCGTCTTCGGGCGATCTTTGGCCGTCTCGGGGCCCTCTTGGACCGTCTTGGAGGCTTCTTGGGGACCTCTTGGCCCGTCCTGGGGCCCTGTAACAGGGCTCCGGCATCTCTGGCCCGACCTTGCCGGGACCTTGCCGGGGTTCTTTTCGTCCGGGGACCCCCAGGGGCCGCCCCGCGCGCGCGAACTAGAAATACTGTTAACCAGGTACCGGAGATCTTAGCACGCCCTGGCCCGTTGGGCCGGCGAATTATTCGTAAATCCCCCCCAGCGGATCCAGGCCATTTGCGAGTAGTCACTTTGCGAGTAGTGGAACACGCTCGTCTATTCGTCCACACTTGTGGATCGATTTTCCCAGGGTCCATCCAGCGAAGGTCCCCTGGTCGCTTCCAACTCGTACCCGGCCCACATGCGCTCAATATCTCTTCCCAGACCCCTCCTGGGGTCCATCCCTGACCCGTTGTTTCGAGGGAGCCCAGCCGTGGCGACGAGCGGCGTCCAGGAGGCCTCGACGAGGCTGCCAAGAGGGGCGGGCAACACCGCCCGGAAGCTTCGGGCGCGAGCGCCGCGTCGTCCCTCGCTCTCCGAAGGAGGCGTTGTCGCCTGCCGGGCCATCCAACGGAAGCTCCCCCCCGAGCGGAGAGAGAAGCTGCGAGGCAGAGCTGCTGGCCGCACTCTGCCCTGAGATGGTGGCACCGCACTGCTACTCTTATGTATGTTGTTCCAACCTGCTCTAAGCCTCGAACACGAGAAAGAATTTCGATCACCAAAAAAGTACCGAAACTCGAGGGTGTTCACGTGTCGGGCCCTGGGGGACATTCGTCCGACGCTATTTCGACACTGTTCCGGGTGCTCGAAATTATGTCTGGGATGTGGTCTTTAAGCACGACGGGAACAACATAATGCTACTCCCCAACCGTTGTCTCGACTGGTCCTCCTCCAAGGTGCTCTAGCCGATCAGAGAGGGGAGGCGGCGCGCGACAGACCTTGCCGACGCTCGCCGGAGCAGCGACCCTCGCACCATCCTCTCGTGTCGCCCCGCTTCGAGGCTTCGAGGCTTCAGGAGGAGGAGGAGGAGGAGGGCGAGGAGGAGGAGGAGGGCGAGGAGGAGGAGGGCGAGGAGGAAGGCGAGGAGGAAGGGGAGGCAGGACGGGGACCAAGACGAGGAGGAAGGGGAGGCGGGAGGCAGGAGGAGGAGGAGGGACGAGGGGAAAGTGGCTTCAGGCAGGCATCTCCGGCCTCTCGCCCCGAAGCTTCAGGAAGAGGAGGAGGAGGAGGAGGCTATGGTTGAGTCGGGCCTGTCCCTCTACTGGGGGAAAATTCAAAATCATTCAAAACAAATGATATGGGGACGATGTTCCTAGTATGTTTGACCATTTTTGAGTATTTTGGCTTGTTGTTTTTTCGTCCAAAATCTGATTATAGGAGGACATGCCCGACCTAAGGCTTTGGTTCGGGATATGGTTCGGCCGAGAATTCTCAACACAGGTCGGAGGAATAAGAGATTGCTGACTCCTTGCGGACTTGATCTGCACAGGAGCCCCTGGCTTGGGATGGCGCCCCTGGCGTACGCGACAGCGAAACTGTGAACTTCCGAGCAGACATCTCCAGAGACATCAACAATAGTTGTCCACAACAACGGAGGAGGAGGAGGAGGAGGAGGAGGAGGAGGAGGAGGAGGAGGAGGAGGAGAGGAGAGGAGAGAGGAGAGGAGATGAGAGGAGAGGAGAGGAGAGGAGAGGAGAGGGAGGAGAGGAGAGGAGAGGAGAGGAGAGGAGAGGAGAGAGAGAGGAGGAGGAGGAGGAGGAGGAGGAGGAGGAGAGAGGAGGAGAGATGTGGAGAGGAGAGGGGAGGGGAGGGGAGTCGAGGAGATGAGAGGAGAGGGGAGGAGGAGGAGGAGCAAAGGAGGAGGAGGGGGAGGAGAAGCAAAAGGAGGAGGTGGAGGAGAAGGAGGAGGAGAAGCGAAAGGAGGAGGTGGAGGAGGAGGAGGAGGAGGACTCAGGACACAGGAGTCCCCAGACATCCTCCGCCGTGATGTCTTCACAGCGTGGCTCCCCAGAGGTCTGGACCCCTTCCCCTGGGGCCCGCTCCCCGTCCTGCGCCGTTGCGGCCGGCCCCAGGGCCGTGGCGAGGGCCTCCCCCAGGGAGGCCGAAGCAAGAGCCCTCCGTCTGGCATCCTCCGCAACGAGAGGATGCCAGGGATCCCCGATGCCAGGGGCTCGCAGGAGGCGCCGATGTCCGATGCCGCATGTCCCGGGTAGTATTGATGGTTCTGCTTATGTGTCTTGGTATGGTTGTTATTTTTCGTCGCCTTCATGTTCATCAGCATCATCATCATCATCATCATCATCATCATCATCATCATCATCATCAGCAGCAGCAGCAGCAGCAGCATCATCATAATCGTCGTCATGATCGTCATCATCATCAGCAGCATCCGCAGCAGCATCGCCAGCATCAACATCCGCATCACCATCATCATCATCATCATCATCATCATCAGCAGCAGCAGCAGCAGCAGCAACAGCATCATCAGCATCTCCATCATATCCATCAACAACCATCAGCAGCAGCAGCATCATCAGCATCATCATCAACAGCAGCAGCAGCGCAGCAGCATCTTCATCATCGTCATCATCGTCATCATCATCGTATGCATCATCAGTATCACCAGCATCATCATAATCATCATCAGCAGCAGCAGCAGCATCATCAGCATCATGATCAGCATCACCATCCGAATCATCAGCATCATCATCAGCAGCATCATCAGCATCCTCATTCTCATCCCCATCATCATCCTCATCATCGTCATCGGCGTCATCATCGTCATCATCATCACCATCATCACCACCATCATCATCATCATCATCATCATCATCATCATCATCATCATCACCTGCATAGCTTTGAGGGCGCTACAGCCTCACGCGCCTTGCCCCATCGGACACAGGCTCACGCGCTCCGCCGCACGCGCCGGCGCGCTGGCGCCTCGCTCGCTCGCCTCGGCGGGAGGAGCCGCGCGGCGCGCCATCGCCGCCGCCAGGCCGCGGAGGGCCACGAGGGCTCCGGCGAGCACCGCGGCAGCTGGTTCTGCAGCGGTTGCTGGGCGGAGTGGCAACGGGCGCTGGCCCCCCTGGACGCGTCGCAGTGCGACAGCGTGGAGCTGCTGAGGATCGGGGGAGGACGGAGGGAGCGAGGATCGGAGGAAGCTCCGCGAAGAAGGGCAAGCGCCTCGAACAGAACCGTTTGGCGCTCCGCGCGAATTTCTTGGATCGGCGACTGGGCCCCCTGGCGGCGCCCCTGGCGCGCTCCGCGCGCCAGGGAAGGGGGTCCAGCGCAGATCCAAGAAATCCGCGCGGACCGGCAAAAGGTTACGGCAGGTTCGCGTCGTGTCGACTCGCTGGGACCCCGGCGCGGACGTTCAAGGTTGAACGCCGTCAGTGGCCCAGAATCGGCCTGTCGTTGAACGATCTGGACTCAAAGGAACGGCCGATCGTCAGAAACCAACGCCAGGGTCGTCAAGACACGATCTTGCCGTCTGTTTATGCAGTTGTTCTTCTAGGATCGTAGGGGGTTCTGAGGAGGGATCGAGGATCGACGGCTCGAGGCTCGAAGGGATCGAGGCTCGAGGGGTCGGGGATCGAGACTCGATGCCACCGCTCGTCCTGGAGAGCCCCCGCCGCCACGGCGGTGTGCCCCCCTGGCGCGTCGCAGCACGACGGCGTGGAGCTGCTGAGGATCGGGGGCGGACGGGAGGATCGAGGATCTACAGGCTATGGGGGCGGAGGAGGAGGAGGAGGAGGAGGAGCAGGACGAGGAGGGGGGAGGAGGAATAGGAGGAGGAGGAGGAGGAGGAGGAGGAGGAGGAGCCGAATCGCAAGCACCTGCATAAACGGAAGCTCCCGGAGGTCCGCGCTGACTTCTTGGATCGGCGCTGGGCCCCACCCCTGGACGCGTCGCAGTGCGACGGCGTGGAGCTGCTGCGGATCGGGGGAGGACGGAGGGATCGAGGATCGATGGGGGGTCTCGAGAAAGAAAACGGCATAAATATAAACTGTCGACGGTTTGCGCGGATTTCTTGGATCTTCGTTGGAGCCCCCCGGCGGCGCCTCCGGCGCCGCGGAGCGAGGGGTGTCCAGCGCAGATCGAAGAAATCCGCGCGGCCCGTCGAAAGTTTATGCAGTTGTTTCTTCCTCTAGTTTCTGAGGAGGAAATTCTTGGCCTCACAGATGGGGTGCGAGTAGATTGGGTCGGAGGATCGCCCCGCATCGCCGATGCATCACCGATGCGGCTCGATGAAGAGCCGGTGTTTCCCCACGCCGACGTCGCCGATGCATCGCCGACGTCGCCGATGCATCGCCGATGCGATGCATCGCCGATGCATCGGCGATGCATTGGCAATGCGGCGCGACCCCATCTAGGAGGCCTCTAGATAAGGAAACAATACCCGCCGCTCTTCCTGAAGAGCCCTCGCCGCCACGGCTGGACTCTCCTCGCCGTTCTTGCCAGAGGCGCTCCCCAGGCGAGTGCCAGGGGATTGGCGGCATCGCTACCTTCATGCCGAGGATCGGGCAAGGGGCGTATCGCAGCGCGACGGCATGAAGTCCTGGAGTTGCTGAGGATCGAGGATCGGCGGAGGGATCGAGGATCGACGGGGGTCAAGAGAATGAGAAGGAATCGAGACCACTGCTCGTCCTGGAGAGGCAATTCTGGTCAGCGCTCCCTGGGGCGCGCTCTGGGGAGCAGCAGCATCGGTACCTTCCTACGGAGGATCCTGCAGGGGACGTGCCGCGGTGCGTAGGCGTGGAGCTGCTGAGGATCGGGGGAGGAGAGGCTTGGCATCGTTCGGATGTGTGCGCTGTTACTCGGCGATGACCATCGAGGAGCATTTTGGGTCATTCTGCGATTAGACAGAGAGAAAACAAACAAACAGAACAACAAAAATCGCACGAGGCCGAACAGTGCACGGGGGTTGGATGTCCGCGCGAGGGCGAGGGGGGGGGATCGAGGAGCGGCCCCAGCGTCCTCGCGCTGCGAGGAACAGATCGCGGCGGAAGGGTCTTGCTAATGGTTTGATCTCGGGGGGCCCTCGCCGGGCCAGGGGGCTGTCGAAGAGCGGCTCGGGATGAGGAGCGGGTACCGTCAAGCAGTGGCGAAGCGTCCTGGCTCGCCTATAGGCCCACCAGAGAATGTTCTAAGAACCTGTTATGACTTGCACGAAGTGTTCGTAGAGCATTTCTGACCAGGACTGTCTTGTTTTAACACATCGGGTTTCTGTTCTAAGAAAATTGTTTTTGTTCTTAGAACATTTCTGGGTTCTACATGTCGTGGCAGGCATTATAGGAATGCCGGGACGGTCGGTCCCTGCTCAATTCTGGGGGAGGGGGAGGGATCGAGGATCGACCTGAGATCCCGGCCAGGCGATTCCGCCTCGTTTCGCGGGCATTGCGGGAGGGGGGGGGGGGGCGAGGCATGGGGGGGTGGAGAGATGTGCACCTCTTGCGCCCTGAAGAGACCCTGGCGGGTTCCCCCCCCCCCCGGGCCCAAAGGAGGCGCGAAAGGTGGACGTCTCTCCCCCCCCCCTCTCTGCACGAACGAAATCGGCACGGAAAGAATGGGTACAATGCCCAACAGCGGATCTTGCTCATTTTGAGCAGGACTCGCTGTCCGCGCCGCCGCGGCCTGTGCCCATTTGAGACAGAAGGCCGCCCGCCCAACAGCGGCCGCTGTTGGTTTGGGACAGCATTTGTCGTTGGGCATTGTGCCCATTTTTGTCCGTACCCATTTCGGGCGTCCAAACCCCTTTTCGTTCATCGCCCCACCGTTGAGCAGAGCCCGAGTTTCGGGCCCTCTGGCCCGAGGATTTTGTCTGCCTGCCTCTCCGCCCCTCCCCCCGCCCCAGGGCCGCGCGCGGCTTGCCTCGCCTCCTCCTCGCCACCCCTCCGTGTTCGAAAGCTGGGCGAGGGCTGCTAAAACCGTGGCTGCCAAAACGGCCCTCCTGGAAGGAAAAAGCAACTTCCCGGAATGAGGCGCGGCACGCGAAACAGTCAACGGGCTTCTTCCCGGAAGGACGAAGACAATTTCCCTGAGGTCGATTTTAGCAGCCACGGATTTAGCAGCCCTTGCCCGGCTTCCGATCCGTGCCCACCCCTGAGATCCGACGTCACGAAAAAAACAACGGCATCTCAGCCCACAGATCTAATACATATATATATATAGAGAGAGAGAGAGAGAGAGAGAGAAAAATGACATCGGAGTTACCCACATAAGGATATGAAGGGCTTCGCGGTATCCACTATCGACGGGGCCGAATGGTAGCACCGTGAGTGCAGGGCCCACAGAATTCAGATATGCCCTCGGAAGTGGATACGGATGCAAGGAGGGGAACAACAGGGAGGACGAGAAACAACACGGTATCCGCATGACCCGCGCCGTTTGGCACGGTTTCTTTGAGGGGCAGCGCGGTATTGGAACGGTTGAAATGTGGGGAGGGCACGGAATTTGATACAACCCACAGTAGTCGGAAAGTTTGGTAGGTCACGTGGTAGTGGGAAGGTTGGAGAGCGCGATCCATGATGAATAACTCGGCTTGCACATAGCCCGCTCGGTCCGACACCGCCTCCTTGGAACGGGAAACAGCTTCCCAGGAGGGGTAACGTGGTTGTGGGAAGGCTTGAGAAGCAGGAAGCGATCCCTGACAGATATCACGGTTTGCGCTTAGTCCGCTCGGTCAGACACGGCCTTTTCGAGGCCCGGCAGGGGGAAACATGGTAGTTGGAAGGTTGGGCGGTATTGCCGCTCTTAAGGAACACATGGTTTTGAATGTGTTCGGTCGTATTCCGGTGATGTTCTAAATTCATGTGCAGAGTTTTTGATAACAAAAAATAATACCCCCCCAAAAAAAACGTTTACACAGAGGTCTCAGAGAACGAGGCGCATGCAATTTAGAATACTGGGCGCAATGCGCATGGTCCAAAATGACATTTGTTCAAACCAACGCTTGTCAATAAGCGAGCTCCATGCAAGATGCCCTTGAAGTTATTCGACGGCGTCGTGACGCCAAAGGCCGTCTACATTCTTGCCACACCGCTGTTTACCGCACGACAGAGACGAAGAATGGCCAGTGCCGGGGCACACATGTGACGACGGATTGTTCGGTGTTGCAAAGTTGTTCATTGGGAAGAGGCCGTGCATCAATGCAAACGTAGATGTAAACCAGCAATGACAGTTTACAAGGTGTTTGACTGGCTCGAGGTGATAGACACAACGCGTTGAAACAGTCAGAGGAGTGTGTGCAACGACAGGCGAGGGTTGTCGTCTCTAGCCGTGTGCTGGCACCGAGAATGCCAGGACCGTATCAATACCAGCTTGGGTCGTGAATTGCACATTACGCACCGCAGGTTTTAGGATGAGTTTCGGGCTTAGTATTTGTCATTCATGCACACATTCGCGTAGTAATATTATTGAGGGGTGTGTTGAGTATTTGAATTTCACCTTGTTTTCCTCTTGCATGAATCACGCCGTTCCCGCAAGCGGGACGAGTCGTCTCAGGGCGCTCGATCGGACGTTCTGTTCTGCGGGAAGGCTGACAATGTGGGGAACTCACGATCCAGGAGGGAAAAACAAAGAGACACAATGAATCGTCGATCCCCCGGAAAACATGGGAAATGGGGGGGAAGACGAAAATCCCCCCTATATGTATATTAAAGATAGAGTGGGGATCCTGGTATTTGAGAACATTTATTTGTGTGGTGGTTTGGGGGGGGCCCTTCAACACTCCCTGACCAAAAACAACGCGGCTTGCGCACAGCCCGCTCGGGCCGACGCGGCCCCCCTCCCTCTGGAGGGCGCGTGGGCCTCCCGGGAGAGAGCGGGGGGGGGAAACGCAGGCGGAGGCAGAAGGCGAAGACGAGTCGGGGAAGCGTAAGACTCGAGTAAGCTGGAGCTCGGGTTTGCCGACGTTTTGTGACGAGCGCGTCCTGGATTTTGACGGTCCTGTTTTCGTGGGATGTTTGCAGCGGGAGCTCGCGTCAAATTTCAGGTTGGGTCTCGTCATTTTTATGGTGGCCCCGTCAGGACAACCCAGGGAAACGCAGGCGGAGGCAGACCTTCGCCCTCATTCTTCCACACCTTCCGTGCTGACCTTCCGCACTCTTGCGTTTCGTGAAACGCTGAGTTGTCTTGCGTTTCCCGAGGCTTTAAAAGTCTCAGTGCATAACCTTCCGCGCCTTCCGCAGAGGTCGGAAGGTAACTATGGAAGATGGAGGTGCAGGGGAAGGCGAAGACGAGGGGAGGAGGACCAGCAGCAGGTGGAGGAGGCAGGAGGACGGTCGGGGGCGTCAGTGGCAGCAGGCGTCACCGACGCGCGCTGGCGTGGTGGCGTAAGTGGTTTCGAGGAGCGTCGAACTCGCGATGCGCTACGGCTCTGTGGAGGAGGCAGGAGGATGCGGGAGGACTGTACGAGAAGGGCACTGGGGAAGGAGGAGGGGGAGGAGGCGGGAGGAGGAGAGGAAGAGGGTGCCTCAGGAAAGCACAAGGGCCCCATTCAGGATGCGAGAGAGGTGTTCCGCCATCTCTTCGGACCCCAGAGGCCCTCGCCTGGCCCCTGGCCCGCCTGCAGAGCGGCACCCGGCCTGAAGAGCCGGCCCCGGGGAAAGGGCAGTGGCTTCCAGGGCCCTCCGGGGGACCGCGCATTAAACGCATCAAGACGTTGGATGTCTGGTACCCTACATTCAATCCCGCATAGGAAGGTTGAGCAGCGATCCAAGGTTGCCGTTGCATCCTTCTCCTTCGGCCCCTCCTTGGCCGTTTTCGCTGGCTGCCCCCGCTCGCAAAGTGTGGACATAGCCTTCCAAGGCCTTTGCATCCTTATCGTGTACAGGTTGACTGTCTGCTTTGGCCGTTTTTCACGCCGGATGGATTTGTGAGGGCCCGGCGGCCTGAACGGGGGCGAAGCCTTAAGATGTCCCAACCCCTTTATTTAGCTTTGATCACCAGAAAGAATGTCGAGCACCAGGAAAGTACCGAAATTGATGGGTTTTCACGTGTCGGGCCCTGGGAGGCGGTACTCGCTCGACACTGTTTCGATACTTGGTCGGGTGCTCGAAATTATGTTTGGGATTTGGTCCTTAAGTATTACGGGAGCAACATATAAGCGAAGCCGCCCGCAGTGGCACAGCAGTGCGGCGCCAGGATCTCAGGGCCTCTCCCGCTGCCGCGCACTCCTCCAGACCGTCCTCCGTGTGCGCCTGTTGGCTGCACCGCAGACGCGCCGCATCAGCCGGCCGCCTGCGGCCCCTCTCTCTCCCCGGCGAAATCCTCGAGCCTCGATCATCTTCGAGTTTCGATCCTCCCCCGTCGAGCCTCGATCCCCCTCGAGCCCCGATCCACCTCGAGCCTCGATCCCTCTCGATCCGCGATGCTCTTCGAGGCTCGATCCCTCTCGAGGAGCGAGGTGGCGCGCCTCGAACCTCGATCCCCCCCCCCCCAAATCCCCGAGGAGCGAGGTGGCGCGCCTGCGGCGGGAGCTGTCGGCCGCCGAGACGCTTCGGGTGTCCTCGCCGTGCACCGACGTGGTACACTGGAGCGAGCTGGACTCGACGGCGTGGCAGAACCGCTGGCGGCGCCCCGCGTGTCACTTCCACCGCCGGCGGCGGCGCAACGGCGGGACAGGAGGAGGAGGAGGTTAAAGCAGGAGGAGGAGGAGGAAGAGGAGGACGTGGAGGAGCAGGAGGAGTAGGAGGAGCAGGAGGGGGAGGGGAAGAGAAGGAGGAGGAGGAGCAGGAGGAGCAGGAGGAGCAGGAGGGGGAGGGGAAGAGGAGAGGAGGAGGAGGAGAGAGGGGAGAAGCGGGAGGAGGGGGAGGAGGAGGAGGAGGAGGAGGAGGAGAAGGAGGAGGATGAGGAGGAGGAGAGGAGGAGGAGGAGGAGGGGAGGAGGAGGAGGAGGCGGAGAGGAGGAGGAGGAGGAGGAGGAGGAAGAGGAGGAAAGAGGAGGAGGAGGAGGAGGAGGAGGAGGAGGAGGAGAGGGCGAGGCGGAGGATGAGGCAAGAGCGGCAAGATGTGGAAGAGGAGGATGAGGAGGGAGACGAGGAGGTGGGTTTCAGGGGGTCTGCACGGAGGGGTCGAGGTAGGAGGAGCAGGGGGAGGAGGAGGACGAGGAGGACGAGGACGAGGACAGGACCAGGAGGGAGGGATAAACGGAAAAAGATCAGGGCGGAAGAGCAGGAGGAGGAAGGCGAGGATGGGGACGAGTAGAAATGAGAAGTGACAGCAGAAGGAAGGAAGAGGAGTGAATATCAGCCAGCATTGATTCCAAATAGATAGGAGGACAGAAGGAGGACGAGATGAGGATGGGAGGAGGACGAGAGGAGGACTGGAGCAGGACGGGAGGAGAACGGGAGGAGCAAAATCAAGCAAGCGCAAGCGAGCAATAACAAGCAAGCAAGAGCCAGCGATCAAGTGCAAGCAAGCAAGGGCAAGCAAGAGCAAGCAAGCGAGACCAAGCACGCAAGAGCAGGCAAGCAAGTGCCATTGGAAAAAGGGGGGCATTGGAAAAAGGGGGGGCTTAAGACCAACTAATTATGATGAGCTAGGATTCTTATAGGGCAAGCCTATTTGGAGAATTGTAGCGGTTTGACGAGGCCCTCGAGGGTAGGCATAACCTTGTCGACTCGGATCGGGCACGCGGGCTCTCCCATCCTTGAGAGCGGTGTTGGTGAAGGCTTGGCGAGCAAATTTTCTGATCCCAGCGCCGAAGGAAGAGGGTATGGAGGAGCAGATGCCGGGGGCGTGCACAAGATGCAGTCTTGAAGAAATCAAGGCGAAGGCTTTTATGTATCGAATGGCCGTTCGCCCATCCCGCCACCGCGCCTGGGTTGTGGGTATAAAGCCTGTTAGATGCTCGTTGGGATATAGTGGGGAGCCTCTCGAGGGCCTCTTGGAGGCAGTTTTGAAGCCTCTTGGGATCCGTGTTGTCGCCTCTTGGGGCCGCTTTTGGGTTTGTTGGGGGCCTTTCGGAGCCTCTTGGGACATCCTCGGGGCCTCTTGGGGCGAAAGGCTCGGATTTCGGGTTCGGGCTCCCTCTCTTGGGCCTATTTCGGGGCCGTTTGGGGGCCCTCTTGGGCCTTCTTGGGCGCCTCTTGGGCAGTCTTGGGCTGCTCGTAGGCCGTTTTGGGGCCCTCTTTGAGCCGTCTTTGGGTGGTCGTGGGGTCCTCTTGGGCCGTCTTGGAGCGTCGGAATGCAGAAAATGCGAGAACGAAAAAACACAGAAACAAAAAAGTGTGCCTCTTTGGGATCTCTTGGGGGGCCTCTTAGGGCGACTTGGAGGCATCTTGGGTCATCTTCAGGCCATCTAAGGCTTCTTGGAGCGATCGTCGGGCGTCTTGGGGCGGTCTGGGGCCATCATTGGGGGCCTCTTGGGGTCCTCCTGGCCCGCCTTGGGGCCCTCTTGGGGCCGAAAAAAGTCACGCGACGAGACCCAGGGGGCACGCGGCACGCCCAAGAAAACTTGGCAGTTTGGAGCTCCGGCCCCCTCAAAGAATATGTTCAGGGACGCCTAAGGTTAGAAAACCCCAGGTTTGCCAGGGACTGGCTCCCCCCCAGACGACAAAAACCCTCCCGAAACCATCCGAAAGGCCTTACAGAGCCCTTCCCGGAGGGTTTTCGGAGGGTTTCGGGAGGGTGTCGGCGGGTTTGAGAGGAAGCCACTCCTGGGCGAACCCTGGACTTTCTAAGCTTAAGAGCTTAGGCAGAGGACCTGAGGACACGCCCACACCGTGCCCAGCGGCACGGAGGCGGCATGCGAAGGCCTTACGGCCAGTGCCGCCGACCCTCCTCCCCGCTGACCAACCCCGCCGGGACCCCCTCTTGGACCCGCCGGCAGCCCGGGGGAGGGGGGCGTCGGCAGTCTGACCCGGGACCCCCCCCCCCCCACCGCGCCCCCACCCCGCCAAACCCCCCCAAAACCCGCGCCCCCACCCGTCAGGAGGGAAAAAGGGGAGGGAATCGGCTTCACCAGGCTTTTCTTGGCTTTTCGGTTAGTCGTTTGTGTCGGGCTTGCCCTGTGTGTTTGGGCATGTCTTTTGGTCTTTTAATTTTGTCCATTCGGTTTTTAGGCATATGTGTTGTGTAATGTGTTGATGTTCACAGAGGAGGAGGAGGAGGAGGAGGAGGAAGGGAGGGAGGAGGAGAGGAGGAGGAGGAGGAGGAGGAGAGGAGGGAGCGAGGAGGAGGAGGAGGAGAGGAGGAGGCGGAGGAGGAGGAGGGAGGAGGATTAAATTTTCTTCGCTCACGCATTGACCACGACGTTTCTAGTCCTCCTTGCTCAATTTACTTGGAACTGGCGACGACGACGGCGACGAGGAGGGCAGAGCCTCTCGCACTCGCCGAAGGGTCGGCGGGTGTTCGACATCTGGGGGCCCTTGCCAGGTCCAGGGGCAGTCCACAAAACGACCCAGGACGAAGAGCCAGCCCTCTGGAGAGGGTCGCTAGGCCTCCCAGATGGTGTCCGAGCAGATGGGGTCGGAGGATCGCGCCGCATCGCCGATGCATCGCCGATGCGGCTCGATGTGGGGTCCAATTTTCTCCACGCCGACGTCGCCGATGCACCGCCAACGTCGCCGATGCATCGCCGATGCGGGGCGATCCTCCGACCCCATCTACTCCGACCCCATCTAGGAGGCCTCCAAGGGCCAAAAGCCAGCCCTGGGGAGAGGGTCGGGACGTCCGAGGCCGCGCATTGAAAACGGCAAGGACCGACCCCAACATTGTTTTGCTTGTTTTGGGCCTTTGCCTCTTGTGGTTCGTTTCGTGGTTTGTTGTTGGTTCGTGTCGTTGTTCGACGTTGCGTTAAAAGCAACGCTTCTTCGTTCGCTGTTATGCGACACCGGCTTCGTTCTAAACTCAACGGTCGGTTTCAACGTTGGATTTCGTGTCGTTGTTCGTTGTAAGCGCCATTGAGTTGTAAACATCGGTGTGGTGGGTCCTTCATTGAAGACAAACACATCGTCGGACGCCTGGGACCGAGGGCCGAGGACAGAGGGTCGAGCATCGGCCAGGGGCGGCCAAGAGGGGTGTGGTGACTGGGGTGTGTATGGATATCATGGCGGCAGCCATGAGAGCTTCCCGGAGTTCGTGGCCCCCTCTTCGTTCAGTACGCACTTTGGCCCCCCCCCCTCCTCGTCTGCGCGCACGGCTCGCGCCATGCATGGTCTGCGACCCCCCCTCCTGCACGCCCCCTGAATTCAGAAAACGGGCGAGGAGAGAGATCAGGAGGGGAAAACAGATGGGAAATGGGCAAGTATGGGAAAAGATAGGGAAATATAGGAAAATATGGGGAATCATTTTATTTGTGTGTGTGTTTATTTGTATGTTTGTGGGCCCCTTCAAGGGAAGAGGAGGGATCCTGCACGGTCGGGGGATGGGCTCAGGGGAGGGAGGCATCGATCCCCCATCGCCCACTGATCGTCGACAGGACCTGGTGGCCCGCCCCGCTTATGTCGGGCGTGTCCCCGTACAGGGGGATTTTCGACGAAAAATAAAACATACACCAAAAATGCCCCAAAAGGGTCAAAAAATACTCCAAAAATAGTCCCCAGACTATGTTTGGATTGTTTGACCATTTTGGGGGTATTTTTTATTTTTCGTCGAAAATCCCCCTGTAGGGGGACAGGCCCGACTTAACCTGTCGCCGATCGATCGGTGATGCATCGCCGATTCCAGCTCGATGTTTCCCCCGCTGACCCGCTCCCCCCGAGCGCACGTTGGCTACGAGACGGGCGTCGGCGAGGTCGGTGTTGGCGTCCGTGCGGACGAGGTGTGACGCGTGGCCCAGGCGTGCGGGGGAGGAGGAAGAGGAGGAGGAGGAGGAGGAGGAGGAGGAGGAAGAGGAGGAGGAGGAGGAGGAAGAGGAGGAGGAGGAAGGAGGGCGGGGTACCTTGTCCGGCGCGCAGCCAGCCCTGCACCCCCCCCCCTGGGAAGAGGTATTGGGAGAGCTGGTGCCCGTGCTGCAAGCGGCCGCTGTGCGTGAGCTCCTACACGCCGCTCGAGGCGACGCCGTCGACGACGCCGACGCCGTCGACGACGCCGACGCTGTCGACGACGCTGACGGCGCCGACGCTGGCGACGACGGCGACGACGCCGTCGACGACGCCGACAGCGCAGACAACGATGCCAGCGACTACGCCGATGACGACGACGCCGATGCCGACGACGGCGGCAGCGACAACGACGGCGACCACAACGCCGACGACGCGCGACGGCGGCAGCGGGCCCAGGAGGAGAGGAGGAGGCGGAAGATGAGGAGGATGGGAGTGGGAGGAGGAGCAGTGGGTGACGGAGGGCTGGCTGGGGTGGCCCATTCGACAGCATTCACATCCTCGGGCACGGATGCTTTTGTGGGCTTGCCCAGGCAGTGCGGGCTGGGCCAGCAGAGAGTCCGCAGCTCAAGTGTCGCGGGTCTCGCCATCAGAACAGTGCGCGCGAAGCACCAATGCTGCAGACAGGCAGCCAGGGAGGCTGAACGAGAACCCTCCCGAATGGGCGGAAAGAAAAAGATGGAGGAGGAGAAAGAGGAGGAGGAGGAGGAGGAGGCCCCATAGTAGCGTGGTCTGACAGAGTCAGCTTGGGGTAATCCGTGGGTAATCCTCCTCCTCCCCAAGAGTCTCCCGGAGCCGAAGCAGGAGCCGCCCCCCCGCACTCCGAGCGGACCCGCGGCCCCGCCCCACGGGAACGCACTGCGAGCCAGAGCCACCTTCGAAGAGCCAAAGACGGCGACGATGTCGACGACGGTGGCGGCGTGGTCTCAGGATGGCCGGGCGATCCTCCCGTGGGGAGGGGTGAGCGCGTTGGCGTCTTAGAAGCCTTGGGATTCGAGGAAGAAGAAACGGCACAAACAGAAACTGTTGGAGCTCCGCGCGCGTGTGAGCCTGTTTTTTTTGGTCTGGGCGATTACGCTCGTGATCGCCCCCGCCCCTCCCACCCCCCCCCCCTGATCACGTCACGCTGTTTTCCCCACATGTCTCAAGGAATCTTCCAGGGTTTCCAGAGAATCTCAAGGGTTCCCCAGGAATTCGTCGTCGTCGCTGTTGTCCGCGACCAGGAGGAGGAGGAGGAGGAGGAGGAGGAGGAGGAGGAGGAGGAGGAGG